ATTTCCTGCCTGCCACACCTGGAAAGCAGGAGGAGAATGTCTAGAGAAGTAGGTCCTATTTAAGAGGTATATACTTGTGAGCAGGTATGTTATCTGAGGGGATTTTTTGACATGTATTGGGATTTTCCAAAAGCTTTTGACAAACTACCTCATCAAAGACTACTGAATAAGTTTAATGGCATCCCAGAGTTGCTTTGGATAGTGAGATGGGAAGCATATAAATTTAACAAACAAACAAACAAACAAGCAGTTTAGGAGGACAGACCTCTTCGAGATAAATAATTACTTAAAATAGAAAAAAAACACAGGCGAAGAAAATATAGACCCTACACAGTATTATTTCTAAAACAAGGAAATAATGGACTTTTTGGTTTAGTTGTTACATTATGTGTAGCTGAAATGAAGGTAATTTTTACAGCCATTTGGTAGAAGTGTACAGAAAGCAAAGTAGTAAACAAAAGAGGAAAGTAGTAAAAATAAAAGCAGCTGACTATCAACCAAGGAAATTGTGTTTTTTTCCTCTAAAGAAGAATGCTATATAAAAATAAGAGTGAGAAGTATTTTGTGTACAGTGCTTATTTCCCAAATACACGTTTAATGTTTAGCTCAGGTTCCAGGAGTCTTCTATTTTGAAAGTTTTCAAAGTTGTCCTAGTTTTCAAGTCTCATTCTTTAGGAATTCATCAGCAATATCAATTGCTATAAAAGCCTGGTATTTTATTGGGCTCCAAATTATTAAAAGTTTAAAGGTTTTGATTCTAAGGGCATTTAAGTATCTTTAAGTGTTTTACTCCTACTGTGTTATTCAAACAATGTATGCTGGGGAAATTACTGATAGCAGTAATGTTTTCTTACCATAGTTCAAGGCCTCTGGGGCAGTCCACTTGATTGGAATTTGCTTTAATCCTGAAGATGAATATACTCCATCGTCTTCTTGACGAGACATCCCAAAGTCACTAATTTTCAGAACATTATTTTCACCTACTAGACAGTTTCTTGCAGCAAGGTCCCTGTATTAAAAAATAAACGCTCTTTAGGCCAACACAAAAACAATATTTTTTTTTATTAAAAAGCTAAATGAGAGGCCAATATAATTTCATTCTTTTTGTACCAGAAAAAAAACCTAACTCACTGGGTGGGGAGGTAAAAATGTGCAATATAATTTGTGGAAAATAAAGTACTTTTGCACCATCAATATGAGAGCTTCCAAGGAAAAAATATGCTAAGATAACATTATTTCGAGGATTATTTCCAGTACAATTAAGAGCAACAAATCTAGTCCAGTTTCTCACAACTGTTTATTGCAGAAGAGAAAGAAACAATACAATTTAATATTTAAAAATATATTTATTATGTATTTATTACTGTGGGCTACTTCAAAATATTGTTCTTTGCTACTGATTGCTAATGAGATATGTGATTTAAAGGCCAACCACTTGTTTCTTGTTATTTCAATTGCATTTTCTAATTTAAAGTCCATACTCTTACGTTTGTTCTTCACTTTAAGAAATATTTGATCAAATATATCAGAAAATATTGGAAGTGTATATTTTGATCTATAACTTTCACATTCCTTGGCAATGATTGTACTTGTTGGATATGATGGAAGATGATATTTAAAACATCTGGAGAGCACTATTGGAAAACAACAAGTTTGAAAGAAGTGAAAAGCCAGCCAACTAAATTCTTCCAAAATTGGGGTGATTTGATTTGAACACCAAATCTCAGTAGTCTGTTTGCTATATTCTGACAAACTGGAGATTTTAAATTGTTTTCAAATTCAGTTTCACACAGAGAGGATTGAAATAATGAATCTTATTATAGTCGTTGAAGTAAGATAGCCAACAGTAGGGGTTTTTTTGTGACAAGGTGGAACAAAAATTCACTCTGGTGTACTTTAATACTGTATTTATGTGAAAGGAAGTCTGCTTTTAAAATGATACACACACACACACACAATTTCTCTACATTGCTAATCTGCTAAATGCACTTCCCATTCAAATAATTGTGTATCTATGTATGTGCATATACATTGCTACAGGCCACACTCCAAAAAAGAAAAGAAAAAAGGATCAAGGCAAAAATTAAACAATTATTAATATAATCAATATACTGCTGATTAAAATTAGTTACATGTAAAACATTCTAACCATAAAAATAAATTGCCCCCCCCCCACTTTCATGAATATGCATAAAGCATTCTTTTTCAGACACCAACTCACAGCCTTGCCCCTTTCTCCTTCATCAAAAACAGGAACAGAAGAAGAAAAGAAAAAAGGGAAAGATCAAGAGAAAATGAGAACAAAAAGAAGAAAGACTGATGAAAATTCAACATATAGTATTATGGAATACGATGATGTTTCTAGTCTTGTTCAGCTATTATGAAATCTTGTGAAACTCAACTTTCTGTTCCATGAGGAGGATGCAGGTATATTAGCTATACCTGCCCTTGTTACCCTCATACTTAGAGTAATGAGGAATGGAAGAGGGAGAAGCCTCCATTGCTTTTGCTGTTCTAAAACGTGGAATCATCTTCCAAGCCTTTTTCCTTGTTGCCTTTGATTAGGCAACCAGAATGGTTTCTAAGCTAAAAGCAGAACTTCATGATTTGTATTACACTATACACAATTTGTCCTGTCAAGAAGATGTTGTTGTTTTTTACTGTGGTGTGTGTGTGTGTGCGCGCGCGCGTGCGCGTGTGTGTAGAAAACTAATAATCAAACCAGCTGGGTGAACTTGGGCCAATAACTCTCAGCCCAAACTATTTCACAGAGTTGTTGTTGTGGGGAAAATAGGAGGAAAGTGTGTTGGATATGTTTGCCACCTTGAGTTATTTGTAAAAATAATAAAGGTGGGGAATCAATCAATCAATCAATCAATCAATCAATCAATCAGTGTTTGGAACTGAAGCACAATCACACTTAGAGCATACCATAACAAAACTAAGATCTGCTTTCAAAATATACCAGAATTTTGGAGAATGCTATGGGTAGTCCTTGATTTGCAATGGTTCATTTAGTGACCATACAGCGGCATTAAAAAAAGTGACTTATGACCATTTTTCACACTTATGACCATTGCAGCATCCCCAGGGTCATAATCAAAATTCAGGTGCTTGGCAACAGATGCATTTCCTGGGGTCATGTGATCATCTTTTGCAACCTTCTAACAAGCAAAGTCAATGGGGAAGCCAGTTACTTATCATGTTATTAACAACTACAATGATCCACTAAACAACTGTGGCAAGAAAACTGTCTCACTTAGCAACAGAAATTTTGGGCTGACTTGTGGTTGTAAATTGAGGACTGCCTGTATAAAGAATTATGGGGAAATGTCCTTTCCTATATTTAAAAAAAAATAACTATTCTGTTATCAATGAACCAGGACCATGTTCTTCAAGACATGGCTTAGGATCATGATAATTTTGTATTTGTATTTTAGTATTTTGATTATCAGAGCTCTTTGAGGATCAACTTCCTATCATTTTACTATAGCTCTCACAGACGTAAATAATTGGAGAATTTTTGCAGTTGACAAAGCTAAAAATAAACAGAAATCTCAAATGAAAGGCAGAAAGGCTCGGTGAAAACTGCAGTAGAAAAACTCTTTTCAACTCAAATATTCTTAAAAGCAGTCCAAAAGAGCTTAATTCCCATTTGTTTATGAGCACAGTTGTGCAAAGGAAATTGTTAAACTATTGTACACAAGCATTTAATACACAGAATTATACTTATAGCTTTAATAACTACTCCTGAAAAAAAGATGTATGAAGAATTTCCTATTTACTTTTATCATCAACTTTGCTAATGTTCCTAATAGACAGGTTGCTATGCATCAATAATAAATTATGTTTTGAGAATTAAGATTTCTTTAAGGATTAATATGATAAATTATAAGTTTTTAAATGGAATTTTATTTATATACAAGTTGAATAAAAGCCATAGATTTACTTGTTTTTTTCCTTAGGCATAAACTAAAGTCATTATAGTAAAGGTGATAAATTATGCTAGTTTGAGCAATGATACTGAACTAACATTTCAAAAAATAGGCACGTTTTGAATGAAGGGATGGAACTTTATTTCATGGTTATTAAAATACAGTATTGTGTTGCTATGGATAAGCAAATTGCCCATTTAAAGGAATATTTCATGACAGGCTCAAAAACTGCAAAGAAATATAAGAAAGAAAAATTGAAACTTCAGCTTCAGACAAAGCTATTATTCATTCATGGCCCATATACCCATATTAAGCAAACTTCTTTCTTAGCCAGGAGAAAAGGAGTTTAATTATCTTCAATGTGGATGATTGTGGATTTCAACGTGGATGCAAATTCAGCCTTGTGGACACAGAATATGACTTCCACAGTATTCATAACAGATTTAAGCTCTTCCAAGACATATTAGCAACACTATTCATCTGAACAGATGCAAGGTATACCTGCCAGAATCAGTACTGATTGGAAAATGAGTAAAGCAAAACAGTCCCCTTGCCATATGGGAAGCAGGGATGCTTACATCCAAATGACATGGGATGTTCATGTTAGAATTACTACTTCTGTACTGAAGCCAAATTTAGACCCTGAAGCATTGCTTTTTTATGTTTGCAAAGCAGCTCTGGGGATAAACCACAAAAAGAAGCCCCAAGAATACCGATAAATAATCTCAGAGAATTTTCCAAACTAGATTCTATTTTAAAAAACAGAAACATTTCTGCTTGTGCTGCTGGTGAAGGAAAGCAGTAAAGCAGCAGCCATCCTTCAAATTTCATGTTTTAAGCTTAGGATGATGGTTTTTAGATTGGATGATTAAAAAAGTATTTAATAAATGGGTGAGGATTCTAATTATATTTAAGAGGGAGGAGGAATAATTTTGATTGCACCTGCTGTAAGGAAGATCAAAAATAACTTTAATTTTTTTTTTAAAAAAAAATCTTTAATGGTATTGTGGGTAGAGGCTTTTAAGAAGGGATTGTCTGAAATGGTTTAGGGTCTCCTGCTTGAGCAGCAGGTTGGGTTAGAAGACCTCCAAGGTACCTTCCAACTCTGTTATTCTGTTATTTTCTTTTCTTTTTTTCTTTCCTTTTATATATTTTTCATTTTTCTTTTATTCAAGTAAAATATTTTTTGCCTTTTGAGAAAAATCAAACTACTTTTTTGAGAAATAAAAATAATTTCGGAATAAAAATTATTAAAAATTGAGAAAGGTTTGAGTAGTTCCCCAAAAAACAACCAGTAAAGCCATTTTTATTAGCCACTGTGTTTCCCTGAAAATAAGACCCGGCCTTATATTTTTTTTGCCTCTAAAAGAGACACCAGGTCTTACCTTAGGACCACCGCAGCCAGGCCTCCCACGCCCCGACACCTGTTGTCCCACTGCCTGAGTTCTTCTGTGGCTGCTTACAGCCACATGGTGCACCGCACCGCTGCTGCTGCTTGCAGCAACAGGCTGCACGGCTCATCGTGCAAATCACGCGGCTACTGCTGCTTGCAGTAGGAAGCCACATGGCTCATTGAGCTGATTGTGGTATGGCTTGTGGCAGGCCACGGAGGCCGCATGGTGTTTTGCGCCAATCATGTCAGTGCCACCGCTTGTGATAGGAGGCCACAAGCCTCATCACGCTGATCGTGATGGGCCATGTGGCATGCGGCCACAAGTGGCTGCAGAACTCACACAGCAGTGCAACAGGTGTCGGGGCATGGGAGGCCTGGCTGCAGCGGTCCTAAGGTAAACGGGTGCGGGGCTCGTGGGGCAGCTCCATCCCCCCAGCTTGATTTTTACATATGCGCCTCACCCCAAAGCTAGGACTTATTTTGGTCATAGGGCAGTGATGGCAAACCTTTTAGAGACCGAGTGCCCCAAAACTGGCCCTGCCCACAGTCTGTTCACAGGGCCACTCACCGCCTCCAGGGCCTGCCGCAGATCGCCCAGGCAGCCCAGCAGTGCCATGGTGGCCACGCCCTCTGCCCACGCCCTGCAGCATCAACTGTGCAGGATGGGGCGTGAGGGCAGTG